TGTTTGTTAGTATATTTTCCTTCTTTTATTTTTAAAATAAATTAAAAAAAATAAAAGGGACATCCTCACACAGATTAAAATAACTTAAAAAAATAAGTATGTTCTCACCTACATTCAAAGAATTTCTATAATATTGGCAAATTTTGCTTCTATAAGTATTTATAGTCTCCATTTGAAGCAATGTGAGAGCATATTTCACCATTCTTAACTTTATTAATCAAATTTAACATGGTATGTACAATTTCTGGTAGTGTTCACCATAGCATAGGCACTGGATAACTTTTAGTTGGTTTTCTTTTAATTCAATACCTCATATATTCTAAAAGCAATTTCCCTCAGGAATCTGACATTTAAAAGTGGTAGGCAACAGATCAAAGTGATGCTGAATTGTGTGGTCATTAAGCCACTAAATTTTTTCACAACCCAACTTTACTGTAATCACAACTCTTTGGAACCAACAGCAATAGTAATTTTTTTTCACAACTCAGAAAGTTACAACTGTCATGTACTCTTGTGCTTGATGGATATAAGAGAAATCAGTAGGCATCTAATATCCTTTGAAAATTTAATTCTCAGACCAATACTACAATCTTTAAGTGTCTTATGAAGCAGGAGAGTTTTGCTTTTGAATGTGAATTTCTAGGCTATAATATAAAGAGTTAAGAAATTTTTCCATGTGAATAGATGGATGACAATTAATTGTGCCAAATCTCAGTAAGATGCTGAAGGCAAGAGAGAAAGGAAGATGGGATAGGGAAAGAGAACTTGTGATATGAGGAAGAAAATGAACTAGCGGGACAAACTTGCTTTTGCTTTATGGCATAAATAACCACAGAATAGATGGGGTTAGGGAAAGGTGGTCTTTAGTTTTATAGGTACTGGTTTACTGTGATATTGAATATATTAGCATATTAAAAGCACATTAAGGACAAATAGCACTTGACTATCAGCTGAAAGGTTTAGTTAATAAACAAAATAAAGAATTCATTACAGTATTTTATTAATGGTAATTCAGAGTTCACAATTTGCTAAGGAATAGCCATCATTTTCTCCATTGGAAAAGTAAATATGTTGAAAGTATCACCAGCAGGGAAGATGGATGGGTCATGGCCCATACTGGTGCAGTAAAACCTCAGCTCTTCTTTTATATGTGCTGCTGTTATCCCTACCTGTCATCATAGGCTGGCATACCAGAGTCTGACAAGATCAGTTAAATATCCATCTGTTTATCAATCCACCTACCCATCCACCGATCCATGCATCCATCCATCCATCCAGCTTACATTTTCCATATTGCTATTCAACATTTGTCCTAAAATGAGCACCAGCACACTTGTCACACTCTTGTACCATGTACATGTGCATAGCCACACAGCTTAAACCCCAGTAGGGATCTTTGGATTCCCTGTGGCCGATTTCTCCTGCTGAAGTTTCTTGGTAAAGCCGAGAACATGTGAATTTCCATTACTTTATCAGTGCACCTTGTTAATGATATAGCTTAATTTACATACCAGTAGTACCTTTTCACCACAGGTAAGAAATTGAAATGTTCAAGGTCAATTAACTGCGAATGTTTCAAGTCGGCTAGTGCGGCTGTAACTGTGAGCGATGCTGGGAAGAGGGAGCGGCCGGTGAGGGGCTCTTCTTCCTCCTGATGAGAATTGATGATCCAATTTTAACCCACTAGGATAAGGCTGATGCTTTTCTCCTTGCTGTGCTTCTCTCTTGTTTGCTTTCTAAATACCGGTCTATTAAGATGTGCTGCAATGCCAGAGAAGCACTATTAAATTTCAGATTAAAAATAAAAAAGCATATCCTCATTACTGATTTTAGATCATTCAAATCAACTAGAAAGAGCACGCAGCCAAATAATCAGTGTTTTCTCAGAGGTATAAGCTGATATAGATAAAATTTCTAAATGTAGAACTTCCAAGTTAAGACGGTAGTTGCCCAGGGCACACTTTCCTTTCCTAATGTTGTATTCCAAAGTATGATAAAAATTCAGAGGTATGTGCAATTGTGGTAATAAGGGGACTAAGGATTCTGAGTTAGCTCCAGACTGCAAGGTATTGATAGGCCCTGGGCTGTAACAGTGATATTGGATAAGAAAATGGAGGGAGATAATTATCCACTCACTACCCCCACCGTGTGCCTGTATTTCAAAGACAGAGCCCAGAATTAACCAGAGGGAGGGAAGTTGACCCTACTGCCTGGTGCCTAAGTCCCAAGAATTTCTGATCCCTCCTAGCATTGCCTTTGCTACATCTGCTGGAACTACCAGTTCCCACTCATGGATCATGATGGTGAGAGGCACTCTTGTGTCCTTGTTCGGAGCACTGTGTCTCTTGCCTGATCTGTGGGCACGGACAGGATGTTCAAGCTCTGTGTATCTGACTCATCTTCTGTTAAATAGGTTGCTTTAAGAATTAAATAACAGTGCATCACAGAGAGTGCCTGACACCAAGCACTCCCTTGCTTAATAAATATCAAGTCACCCTGTAGTAGCATAAGTGGAGGAGGATGGATATTGTTCCACCGCATACTGAGAAATGAAGTGCGGAGGAAGTGTTGGCTCAGATTTATATGTGACGCTATGTGAGCAGTTCCCAGTGAGGTTCAAGAACTCCCCAAGCTGTCTGTGGCACACTGCCATTTAAGGTGTGCTTCAGATCATCCAAGAACTATTTTCACAAAGAAAACAGGCTACAAGAATAGGTGACCCTTGTGGGCAGCAGATAGCAGTGCTAAGCAAGGGAAACGGACACCCACAATTTACCAGAGCTCGTGACTGCCCTAGAAGCTCTAATGCTTTATTCTACTGTAACCTAAAGGAGGTAGATTGTGTTAGTGACTAAGAAAACTCTACTCAATGTCACAGGTTCTTCAAGGGCAAATATAAAGAAAATTAAAAGTAAAACCACTGTATAAAAAATAGCATACTTATTAAATATTCTGAACCTAAAAAGGGAAAGAATTGTACTTATGATATATAGAGTGGAGTGGAAGACACTTTTAAAGGGTGGTTCATTTTAAGGAAGAAAATCTGAAAGTGTATACTTCTGAAAACAGTGCTGTAAATAATATTGGGAATTGCAAGGTAACATAAGCAGAAGTTAATGGGATGTCGTCAGTAGAGGATATTTTTTCTAATAGAACTTTTAGGAAATACTGCTTGACCCAGCTTTGAGGTCCTGGCTGGAGGCTTGTCAGTTTGTTTTCTTGAGTGATGAATCATATGAATATCCCAACTACTCCTTTATCGGACTCTGACCATCCGGGGTCACTATGCATCAGCCCTATCACACCAGAGCCAGGAACCAGACAACTAGAGACAGCACGTCCGTCCCAGAACATCCCAGAGAATTTATTCAGATTAGCCAACCCATGGGGAGCCCAAAAGATCTAGCTAACCTTGCCTACTTGTGCTGTTCAAGCTATCTTTTATAGCTTCAGTTTGTTGTCATCTTGTTCCCTTGTTCAACACTGAGTGGCCCTGCTCTGCAGCCTTCTCTTGCTTAGAGTTACAAGTTATAAGGCGTTATGCCTTTCGTCTGTTGGAGTGCCACTGTGCTTGGCTCCACCATTAAAAGAATCTTTAAATCTTAAAAAAATCTCTTGTTAATACAGGTGTGTCCCTTCAGACCAGCCAATGGGATATGCCCCATGATAATAGCAAGAGCTTATTGGGTATCTCTTTGAACGAAGGGTGAATTCAAGATTTCATAAAATAGGTCACAGATGTCAGGAACGATGTTCAAATGAAAAGTATATGTAAATTCATGGTAATTTCTATTTAAAATTTCAGCCTCAAAATGGGTGGCAAAAATGAGGCAAAGAAACCGTATACTAGCATTCTCATTTGAGATGTTATATAATACAGGTTGAATTTTAATAGATACTGAGTAGCAGATAAATGGATCCCGGAAAGTATAAAACTCTCTTTCATAGCTTTTTCAATGATCATATATCAGTTACATGACCAGCAGTGTTAATATTAAAATAAATGAATTTCCCCAATTATAGTAAGCTAGAAAAAGGAAACTTTAACAAGACAGGAGCCACAGCTAGCTGTAATGCTCTGATATGTGTTAGATAAATTAAAACACAGACTCTGCTCCATGCATACTTCCTTGAGTATGAATCAAACTCCTACTTTTCTTTTCTGAGTGTTCACTCAGGCTTTCCAGCACCTGGCTCTGTTATGTCTGCTGGCTCCCGTTCCATTCTCTCACCCATGACCCAGTTCCTCAGATGGGATGGAGTCAGCAGTGTGTGGTAAACTGGCTGCAGTGGGAGTGGGTGCTGGTTAGTGGAGTTGACCAATTCCCTTTAAGGACTCCCACCAGGGCCTGTTACAAAGACGGTTATGCTTAATAACTGGCTTGCAAATTTGAAAATTAAACAGCCATCTCTTGCACATTATGGCAAGCCAAGTCCAACCCACCACTCTATGGAAATCTCCTTTTTTTTTGGGGGGGGGTTATTCTCTGCACATGCCTCCCCATTCATGTTATCCATGCTGAGTTTCAAGTGTAATTTTTGATGTCAGTGCCTCCAGTGAGACTGTAAACTCTGTGGGCAGGATCGTTCCTTGAACATCTTTGCTCCCCATGGCTTAACAAAGCACTGTACTACATTCTCTGAGAAATCTGAAGACCAAAAATCTGAAGATGGCCTCTATCAAAGGTCTAGTTTTATAGATACACTAGACCTGGATGATGTTCCTTTATGTCCCTCTCTGGGCAAAAGGATTGAAGGCCAAGCTATAACTCAGTCCTGCATGTGGGTGTTTAATGCCCTGTTTAATGCTATTTCCAACCATTTACAGTAAATTATTTTTTAACACAGTTTTTCTATAGTGAGAAGTTTCATATTTTGGAAGTTTCATGTTCTAGAAACCTTAAATTCCTTAGAGGAAAATAGTCTCGCTGGCCTTTCCACTCCACTAATAGATTTATAATTAATTCTTCTTTCCCAATTTTCTTCTATTTTCACACAAGGAGCCGGAGGCTGGTCCCCACTTGTGTCAAATAAATACCAGTGGTTGCAGATTGACCTTGGAGAGAGAAAGGAGATCAACTCTGTCACCACCCAAGGGGGATATGGGAGCTCCAGCTCTGTGACCAGCTACCTCCTGATGTTCAGCAACAGCGGCAGGAACTGGAAACAGTATCGACAAGAAGACAGCATCTGGGTATGTTTCCTTAATAAGAGGTATAATCTCTTAGGAAAGAGAGAGTAATGTATAGTCCTTGCTGCAGCTTGTTGACCAATCTCTTATGTTAAGTTGAGACACAGAATCTTCAGAAATACTTTGAAAATAAGGCCTAACACAACATGTGGGTAAATGTTCACTTTCTAATATAGTTCATGGTAAATTCATTAAAATGTTACAGGTCAATTTATTTCACAGGATTCCTCAAAAGTGAGAAGTAGTCCATTAAACAGTGAAGAAACATAAGAAATGAGCAAGACTATTTAAAATTAGCCAAAGAGATTTTCTTTTTTTCTGATGGCTATAAGATTTCTGAAATTGTTGAGTATGGGGGTTTATATATGGAGTTATATTTGGGACATATATGTATATGTATGTGATTTATATAAAGTCTTTCTTAGGCTTTTTAAAGTATATTAAATACCATTTGTTGTGAAGGGGTGCAACCACTCTAAGAAAGATTTGGAAAGAGGCAGGTTATAACTGTGTGTGTGTATGGGGGGTTGTAGTTGACTGACAGCATATCGACATCTGATAAAAAAAGGAAGCTAAAGGAACTTGCTTGAGGGTAAACGGATCAAGGAATCCTTTGTTAGCGTATAAAGGTATTTGTTTGGATCTTCTGTGGGCCAGGGACAGCATCATACTGTAATCAAAAGAATATATGTATGTACATATCTAATCCCCCCAGCTGAGCTTCTGGAATGAGAGAAAATGAGTAACTTAATGAAGCATCACCCTTAGCTCACTGATAATTTGGAAGCCTATTCGGGCACATAATGATAATTTTTTGGACCTATCAATTGACTCTTTAAGAAAAAACTTCCTGGAACTATATTATACATTATAAATGCACTGAAGAAATGAATTGTGGCTTACTCACCTTGCTGTCTCTAAAACCCTTGGTGGCTGTTCAGTTCATGTTAAGTGACGTACGCTGAATTGAGAAGAAATAGCGCTCCTCTTTCCCAGAGAGAGTAGTGGGCTGGAAGCAGTGGCGTATATTTAAGAAAAGCTGCTCTGAAATCAAAAGCAAGTTGAAGGTATGTGTGAGAGTGAGAAAAAAATCCCCACAACTGGGTATTGCAGTTGAGTGAATTCCACCAGAGCCCTTCAAACTAGGCATAAAATAAACAGTAATTATGAACCAATAACACTGAAAGCTTAATGAGATTTTTTTTAACTAGGTGTTTTGATTATATTTTAGGCTTTTTCTAAATTAAGCATTGGATTTTAAACTAGATAAGTAGTGGCTAATGTCTCCTAGCGTTTAGCGATGTTAATTAAAATGTATGTGTTTGCTATGTTCTAAAAAGTGATAGATCAGCCATGAAAATTATTGTGCTTTTGCTCATCAGGTTGGGCAAAGCCAAATGTAGGCATTGCCATTTGCTTTTTTCATCTCCTTCTATGAAAGGTGAACGGTGCAGGGTGAAAGAGTGTCATGAGTCCTGTTCTTACTTATCCAAACCAGTAATACTAAGGGCCTGTTATCCTGTTATCTGTCACTGTGCTGTGGAGGGACTGCAGTGTTTTAGACCATGCTGTAATTTGTGGATTTACTCACCGGCATCCCCTCTTAAGCATAAGCTCCCTGTGAATAAAGACCACTTCACAACCTCTCATTTCAGCAGTTCCAAAGCATAATGGCACCTTTTATGTTGTACACAATTATGAAGTGTTTGCGGAATGAATGAATGGAAAAATGAAAGAATGATAAAGGAATGCATGAAATGTGTTTTCTCTTAAGATAATATTCTCATAACTAAAAGCTACTCTTTTCTGCTTTCACCATCTCTTCCTTTTAAAGTATTTTTTGGGGGGATATTGGTTTCACAGACATAGATTTAGAATGTCACATTTCTTTTTACCTTATACATTTTGAACATTTTAGGGAAGAAATTTTCTTTGTTTTCTCCTATCGTAGCACTTTTTTTGTTATTTATGTCCACTGTGGGTACAGAGTCCTGAAGACACGGAAAAGGAAAGAATCTGGAGGTCATCACAGACTAAACTTCTCTAAGTAAAAGAGCTTATAAAGGCCTTAAAGAAAGCACTTTAATTGAGATTATGGAAGGAGTAAGAAAACTATTCCACGCAGTTGGAGAACAAGGTCACGGACCGGGGTGATCTCTAGAGACACGATTTCCCGTGTAATGATCAATGAGACTCCCGGTCAGATGGGGCTGTCAGGTTTGAGAAGGGCTGGATGATAATTTTGCATGTGGGACAGAAAGCTCATGTTCACGAATAACTTTGAATGTCAAGATCAAAATTAACACAGTAGAACAGGTACCATGACCACACATAGCACAGGTAATGTTTTGGTACAGATAAAATAGCCTCAAATCTTCCAATCAATTTCTCCATCTCTCTGGATAGATATTTATAAGTATGTATTTATACATCTTATGTTATATACTTATAGACATATACTCATACATAACTATATTTATACTTGTGTATCTAGATTTGTATATTCATAGAATCTCCTGTTAGCCCCAGGAAGGCTGCAAAGCTCCCGATTATCCCATAGTCATTGTGGTCCCCCCAGAGGGAGTGCCCTCTCCGTGAGTCTACTGTTGCCAAAGCAGGAAAAGTGAAAGATGGCAAATTACGCTCCGGATCATGACTTTTCCACCTGGAAGAGCACAAATCACTTCAACATGAACTTTCTCAGACACAGCACGATCTTGAATTGATGGGCATAGTGAGGAGTTTAAAACTTTGACTCATTTTACAAATGCGTGTTTCCTAACTTGTTTCTCTATTGGGTTCTTCTTTACTCTTTGCTCAGTTTTTGTAGATATTATGGGATGTATATAACGTATACCAAACTTGTCAGTTTCCTTTAAGAGCATCACAACCTACTTCAGATCATGTAAATAAATCTTTGACAGCCTTAGGAAACACGTAAGCATTATGGAAGTACTGACGGAAAGAGAAAGGAAAGACAGTGGTTATGGGTTTGGAACTGGACACAAGCAGAAGAGTCTACATGTGTGGAGATGTTTCAGTGTGGAGTCCTCATTCTCCCTCCATTTGAGTCCCCGTCAGATGTCAGAGAGAGCAAAGATTTCTACATACTTGAAAGAATTAATAAAATGCCCTGTGGCGTCTTACAAAAAAACTTTAAGAAAAAAGGCAAAAATTTTAATTATTAGCTATAGATTTCATTTAATGGAAATATAACCTTGATAGGCATATGTTTTTACCTAAAAACTCATTAAAACATTTCTTCAGAATAAAATGTATAGTCTACTATTCTTAAAATGTAATTTATACAAAGTACTCTGCTGGAAGGTGAATAAATACTTTATGAAAGTTTAGAAAATGCAAGTCACTAAAATTACTCCTTTTAAATTGAAAACAAAAAATCTTGCAGCAACTATTGTAAATGATTCAAAAAGTAAATGTAAGGTATAATTTTTAGTCATTTAAGAACAATTGCTGAAATATCATGAAATGACCATCTTAGAAATTATTTTAGATAGATTGACACATACAAGAACCTTACAGCCAAATTCTCTAAATTCTGTCTGATAAACATTCAAGATTCTTTTATCCTATAAAATTGCTTTGCAAGGTATAGAGTGGTGGTTGCAATTTGATAAATTATCTCGGTAAATATGTTTGTGATATGTTAAAAGTAGCCTACTTTTTAAACTGACTTCAGTTGTATCTGATTTTTCTAACAAAAAATTTATTGTATTTCTAAATGCAGTACATCATCAATTTTTTTTTTAACTTGGTTCTGGGTTTGGCTGGAGAATGTCATGGATACCTCGTGACACAGTGTATGTAGACAATTAGATAGAAGCACTACCCATCACAAAATATTCAAGTCATTGTTACCACCTGGAAAGATTGAGTTATCAACTCTGTAACCCAGATGGGATGGAGACAGTAGCTGCAAAGCTTTTAGCATGTGTTTGTTTCAAGTCAAACAAATAAGTGCCTTGGGGAGTTTAATACAAACCCTAGGGAGGCAGAACTGTAAGCAGGATTTGCAGTCAGCCAGGTGGATTCCCCTTTCTTGCAGGTGGCATCCTTTCCCCTAGAGCTTTCCCTATGTTAAGCCTTTATCCTACTGACCTAAGCCTATAAAGCCACCAGCACTGATAGAAAGCACAACAGTACGAATGCTCTGTACGTCAACGTGTCAAACTGTCAAGCTTAATGCGCCGCAGTACTTGCCTCAGTTCTTGGCAAACGCCTAGTGCGTGCCTTAAGCTGCTGCCTCCTTTCAAGACACTAATCCCAAACAGATACTTTTAATTAAAGTCTACATTGTTCTGTATCTTCAGGACGTTTCTTGTTTATGTTGCTATTTGAGTTCTCCACCTTTTGAAAATGATTAACCTAGGAGTGCATAGTGTCAAGCTGACTGCATTGTTAAAGAATCGTGGTATGAGCACAGCATGAAATTTATCTTCTTAAAAAGTTTTAAACGCGCAATGTGCCATTGTTAAGGACAGGCACAGGGCTGCGCAGCTGCTCTCCAGGGCTTACCTCGTGCACGTGGGACGTTACACCTGTTGGACGGTGACTCCGTATTTTACCCTCCTCCCCCTTCCTCACAACCACCACTGTGTTCTCTGTTTCTACGTGCTTGACTGTTTTAATTTCCTCATCTAAGTGGAAGTAAGTAGTTTTTGTCCTTCTGTGGCTGTCTTATTTCACTTAATAATATCTCCTCAAGGTTCTTCCGTGTTTCTGTATTATCATAAATTCTTTCCTTTTTAAAAAAAGGCTGGATAACATTCCATTGTATGTGTATAACACATTTTCTTTACCCATTCAGCGGTCTATGGGTCTTTACATTGTTTCCACGTATTGATTATTTTGAATATTTCTGCAGTGAACAGAAGAGTGCCAATATCTGAGACCGTGATATCAATTCTTTTGGACAAAGAAACACTCAGGAGTAGGATTGCTTGATCGCATAGTATTTCTATATTTTCTTTTGCAGAATTTCC